GAATCTTTTAGAATAAACTTTAGGTTGACGACGTTTACGGGTTTTGCAATGACTTTCTTTGTGTCCTTTCCTGGAACACGTAGTACAACGATGACTTTTAAACGGACAAAACCTTTTGAAATGCCAACCTCCGCATAACCAGCATGGGGATGATGGTTTACCGCAGTCATTTCGATAATTCTGTATACTGGAACCTTGCTCGACTTTCCTCTCAACAGCATTAACGTGGAGGAACTGGTTAGTGTTTTCTACCGTCGAGGTATCGTGCTTCAAATTCACTAACCTTTGACATTCATTAGTCACTTCCTGCAGGGTCATGTTGGGACAATGCTCAAGTTTGCTTAGGATTCTCGTTCGGATGTCAGCATCCTCAGATGAACGCAGGCTACAGACAAATACTAAGCATTTAAACTGGTCTTCAGATATGGAAGACAAATTGAACCTCTCGCATTCTCGGTTCACAATACCTGCATGTTTCACCCAGTCATCTCCTGATTCTTTCGTTATCTTCAAGCACTGGTAACGGATATTAAATAGAGACGACTGTTCTCCAAAGATTTGAGACAGGGTTTGAATTGTTTCATCAAAACTAAAGTCTCGTGGGTTCTTCGGGAGAATAAAGTTACTATAGCGTTCATGTTCTGTTGTCCCAAGCTTTCTTAGAAGTATTCTGACTTCTGAAGCGTCATCCAGTCTGCAGAGATCAATATGAAACAAATCTTCATACTTCTTAAACCAAGAGTTAAAAGTGACACCTGCTGCACCATCAAAATTAAATTCATGGATTGCGTTAATAACTGAGTCAGTATGAGATACTTGAAATTCACCAGCAGCAGAGTTTTGTTGAGACATACATAATTTCTGCATAAGAGCTTCCATGACTCTGATTTGAGACTGTTCAAACCGTTTTTCTTGACGCTCCATATAAGCTTCAAATTGCCCTAAAGAAATACTCATTGTCATTTTTTTTTCTCGTCGCCACTGATATGTCTTGTAGTTTTTTCCCGTCGCCACTGATATGTCTTGTGGGTTGAACGCTATTTTCAGATCCTAAGCTATTCGGATAACCCCAGGCTAGCACTACTCAGCGACTTGAAAGACCAGAGAGAAGACACGAGTATCAGAGAATCACTTTACTACAAGGTTCATCTTTGTACAGAAAAATCGTAAGTATTTATAGATGTTTGCTTAAGTTAAATCAACATCCTAATTCAGCCAATCCAATAAACGACATATATTGCTACTGACCAATGATAGCGTGCCACGTTGGAACTCCAGAATGTTCTGTCGTGCTCTGATTGGTTGGAGCTCTTTTTGAGCCTCTGTTGGAGTTCTCTGGAAACCGACTCAACACCTCCCCTTTTTTGAAGAAGCGGGGTAGGTATCCAGACTGCATTTGCTGACTTCAACCTCCCCCACGAAACAATGTTGGGTCCCCAACTTTCGATATAGTGCCGTTGTTGCAGATTGAATTTATGGGACGATCTAATAATTTCAACTTTTCTATCCAATCAAGTCCCAATAAGTCGAGTGCTGGTCGTTCTGTTAAAAATATTACTCCCTTCTTTGTAAGCTCTGCGACTGTGATTTTACAGTGAACCTCACCAGCAATGTTTATAATCCCCCCAGATGCGCCGTGTGCTGTCTGATAGGTTGAAAATATTCTCGGCCTCCCAATTTTCTCCCACGTCCTCCTGCTTATAAGCGTTATATCGGAGGCTGTGTCTAGCTGTAAGCGGGCATCGTACCCGTTAATCTTGAGGGAAACATACTTTCTACGATTATGGGAGCCGATTCTGTTAGCAGCTACCGTCACCTTGGCTGTGCGTGGCTTGAATCTTTTAGAATAAACTTTAGGTTGACGACGTTTACGGGTTTTGCAATGACTTTCTTTGTGTCCTTTCCTGGAACACGTAGTACAACGATGACTTTTAAACGGACAAAACCTTTTGAAATGCCAACCTCCGCATAACCAGCATGGGGATGATGGTTTACCGCAGTCATTTCGATAATTCTGTATACTGGAACCTTGCTCGACTTTCCTCTCAACAGCATTAACGTGGAGGAACTGGTTAGTGTTTTCTACCATCGAGGTATCGTGCTTCAAATTCACTAACCTTTGACATTCATTAGTCACTTCCTGCAGGGTCATGTTGGGACAATGCTCAAGTTTGCTTAGGATTCTCGTTCGGATGTCAGCATCCTCAGATGAACGCAGGCTACAGACAAATACTAAGCATTTAAACTGGTCTTCAGATATGGAAGACAAATTGAACCTCTCGCATTCTCGGTTCACAATACCTGCATGTTTCACCCAGTCATCTCCTGATTCTTTCGTTATCTTCAAGCACTGGTAACGGATATTAAATAGAGACGACTGTTCTCCAAAGATTTGAGACAGGGTTTGAATTGTTTCATCAAAACTAAAGTCTCGTGGGTTCTTCGGGAGAATAAAGTTACTATAGCGTTCATGTTCTGTTGTCCCAAGCTTTCTTAGAAGTATTCTGACTTCTGAAGCGTCATCCAGTCTGCAGAGATCAATATGAAACAAATCTTCATACTTCTTAAACCAAGAGTTAAAAGTGACACCTGCTGCACCATCAAAATTAAATTCATGGATTGCGTTAATAACTGAGTCAGTATGAGATACTTGAAATTCACCAGCAGCAGAGTTTTGTTGAGACATACATAATTTCTGCGTAAGAGCTTCCATGACTCTGATTTGAGACTGTTCAAACCGTTTTTCTTGACGCTCCATATAAGCTTCAAATTGCCCTAAAGAAATACTCATTGTCATTTTTTTTCTCGTCGCCACTGATATGTCTTGTAGTTTTTTCCCGTCGCCACTGATATGTCTTGTGGGTTGAACGCTATATTCAGATCCTAAGCTATTCGGATAACCCCAGGCTAGCACTACTCAGCGACTTGAAAGACCAGAGAGAAGACACGAGTATCAGAGAATCACTTTACTACAAGGTTTATCTTTGTACAGAAAAATCGTAAGTATTTATAGATGTTTGCTTAAGTTAAATCAACATCCTAATTCAGCCAATCCAATAAACGACATATATTGCTACTGACCAATGATAGCGTGCCACGTTGGAACTCCAGAATGTTCTGTCGTGCTCTGATTGGTTGGAGCTCTTTTTGAGCCTCTGTTGGAGTTCTCTGGAAACCGACTCAACACCTCCCCTTTTTTGAAGAAGCGGGGTAGGTATCCAGACTGCATTTGCTGACTTCAACCTCCCCCACGAAACAATGTTGGGTCCCCAACTTTCGATATAGTGCCGTTGTTGCAGATTGAATTTATGGGACGATCTAATAATTTCAACTTTTCTATCCAATCAAGTCCCAATAAGTCGAGTGCTGGTCGTTCTGTTAAAAATATTACTCCCTTCTTTGTAAGCTCTGCGACTGTGATTTTACAGTGAACCTCACCAGCAATGTTTATAATCCCCCCAGATGCGCCGTGTGCTGTCTGATAGGTTGAAAATATTCTCGGCCTCCCAATTTTCTCCCACGTCCTCCTGCTTATAAGCGTTATATCGGAGGCTGTGTCTAGCTGTAAGCGGGCATCGTACCCGTTAATCTTGAGGGAAACATACTTTCTACGATTATGGGAGCCGATTCTGTTAGCAGCTACCGTCACCTTGGCTGTGCGTGGCTTGAATCTTTTAGAATAAACTTTAGGTTGACGACGTTTACGGGTTTTGCAATGACTTTCTTTGTGTCCTTTCCTGGAACACGTAGTACAACGATGACTTTTAAACGGACAAAACCTTTTGAAATGCCAACCTCCGCATAACCAGCATGGGGATGATGGTTTACCGCAGTCATTTCGATAATTCTGTATACTGGAACCTTGCTCGACTTTCCTCTCAACAGCATTAACGTGGAGGAACTGGTTAGTGTTTTCTACCATCGAGGTATCGTGCTTCAAATTCACTAACCTTTGACATTCATTAGTCACTTCCTGCAGAGTCATGTTGGGACAATGCTCAAGTTTGCTTAGGATTCTCGTTCGGATGTCAGCATCCTCAGATGAACGCAGGCTACAGACAAATACTAAGCATTTAAACTGGTCTTCAGATATGGAAGACAAATTGAACCTCTCGCATTCTCGGTTCACAATACCTGCATGTTTCACCCAGTCATCTCCTGATTCTTTCGTTATCTTCAAGCACTGGTAACGGATATTAAATAGAGACGACTGTTCTCCAAAGATTTGAGACAGGGTTTGAATTGTTTCATCAAAACTAAAGTCTCGTGGGTTCTTCGGGAGAATAAAGTTACTATAGCGTTCATGTTCTGTTGTCCCAAGCTTTCTTAGAAGTATTCTGACTTCTGAAGCGTCATCCAGTCTGCAGAGATCAATATGAAACAAATCTTCATACTTCTTAAACCAAGAGTTAAAAGTGACACCTGCTGCACCATCAAAATTAAATTCATGGATTGCGTTAATAACTGAGTCAGTATGAGATACTTGAAATTCACCAGCAGCAGAGTTTTGTTGAGACATACATAATTTCTGCATAAGAGCTTCCATGACTCTGATTTGAGACTGTTCAAACCGTTTTTCTTGACGCTCCATATAAGCTTCAAATTGCCCTAAAGAAATACTCATTGTCATTTTTTTTTCTCGTCGCCACTGATATGTCTTGTAGTTTTTTCCCGTCGCCACTGATATGTCTTGTGGGTTGAACGCTATATTCAGATCCTAAGCTATTCGGATAACCCCAGGCTAGCACTACTCAGCGACTTGAAAGACCAGAGAGAAGACACGAGTATCAGAGAATCACTTTACTACAAGGTTCATCTTTGTACAGAAAAATCGTAAGTATTTATAGATGTTTGCTTAAGTTAAATCAACATCCTAATTCAGCCAATCCAATAAACGACATATATTGCTACTGACCAATGATAGCGTGCCACGTTGGAACTCCAGAATGTTCTGTCGTGCTCTGATTGGTTGGAGCTCTTTTTGAGCCTCTGTTGGAGTTCTCTGGAAACCGATCCACACAAATATATGTGGATTTTTTTAACACACACACATTTCTCCCTGTGTGCTTACGGATTTTATCATTTATTAATAATATACTATCCCTGCAGCTGGTGTTCTGGCTTTTGAATATTCTCGAGTGAATTCACAGCACTACTAAAAGAATTGGTCTACTTGTAATACTCAGTTAACGGAACATTTATTAGAGTCAAATAAAGAGGAATTAGTCGCTACGTGGACAAACTGCTACGAGTTAGGTTAAGTTGATAATCTTGTGTACTAATGATCGCTGATCTCGAATACGTTGGATAAACAACCCAATGATTTTAGACTTACTAAGTACTTCAGTATAATTCGGTCAGACCTCGGTATAACGTGAATGAATCCACGATCCTCAGAATTTAAATAGTGAGAGCACTCAAGTGTAGTTTTAATTATTAATAGTTAATAAAATACAAAAGTTGAGTATAAATCCCTTTTAATTAAGATTCATAGTCATTTTTATACAATAGTATTTGCATAGGAAAGATCGAATAAACATTTCATACAAAAAATATGTTTGTAAGAATGTACAACTATACAGAGAACAAAATTAGTTCTTTTTATCTTTTAAATTCTGTACACAATTCCAAAGTTTATATGCCAAGTGAAGAATATTATCACCCCGTTTGGCTGAAACAAGCATTACTTGATCTATACTTTCTGGTGTATCCTTAATGATAGTAACCGAACAAGCAGCTTTATACAATATATGGTGTAATTTTTTAAAAAGTTGAACATTTTCCTCTGTATTATTAACATTTGATTCACTTGAATCTATTTTATTTGGAAAAATTAAATCTAATTTACTACCTAGTATAATACATTTATCTTGATTGGAAAGATTTCTATCATAAGTTGTCACTTCATAATAAAGCATAGATAATTGATCAGTGAGTTCATTTTCAATTTCATCCAATTGATTTACACCATAATTACACCATAATGTTCCATAATCAATGACATAAACTAGTATGGAACAATCAGCGATTAAACTTAAAAATTCAATTCCTAAACCTTTATCATATTCAGCTGCACCATGAATAAGACCTGGAAGATCAGCAACTGAAAATTAAAATTAGCAAATCAACATATTAGTAACATCATTAATTGTAAGAATCAAATAAATAAAGCAGGATATCAATTAGAACTGGCTTATCGTTAAGAAATGAAAATGCAATTTATAATACACAGGGAAAATCTCTCTAGAACTAGCTAAATGAACAAGATACTATGCTTTACTAAGGGATAATTTTAAGATGGGTTTCCTGTAATCCAGTGAGCTAGCTGTGGTCTTTGGATTAATGTAAAGCTACATTGGAATTGAAACAACTGGGTGTTGAATGCTGACTCGCACAATCAAGTGGTATCGTTTCCGCTGTGAGACCTAAACGTCCTGAGTTTGATTTCGTGTATGGTCGTTAGTGCACATTGTTTCGTAGTATTTGTAAACCAAAATAAAACAACAGATCACTATTAAACCTAGTAATTCAACAGTTCAGCCAATGTTGCCTGGCATAAAATTAAGTTGAAAGAAAGCTATGTGCACCCTAAAAAAGTAGCGTAAGCCCATCAAGTTACAGACTTCTGGTTGGAGCCGTTTTGGTAGATACGAACAACTTGGTGAAGGTTCGTGTAACTAGCATAATCAATGGTTTGTGAAGTTGGATGTGGATCAGAAATGGTCATAACAACGCAGATGCACTCACTTTTTATTAAAGACATGAGTTTTGGAATAATTTCATATGTTTTGCTCTGTGAATTCGCCTCTCCATTTCGAATTACACTCTTTATTGCCTCGAACCCTGTACCGTCCGCTTCAAACGCCATCACGTTATCTACTCAGCTACTGAGTCCAGATAACCTCTAGTTTGTGCAATATGGTGAAGTTTGATTTATTTTTGTACTGGTTGTTTAATTCTTCCCATTAACGTTTAAGACTGTAATTGATTAGTCTCCTATTGTCATATGTACATCCTGTGAGGACTGCAATGAGTGTTTCAAGTCACAAGCATCATAAAAAGAGATAGATGGTGGCTAGCAGGATTTAGAAGGGGCGTTTTGTTTTATTTGGGACTCATCAGGTGGATGTACAGGCATCCCAGAGTTAATTTTGATGTAGGTTTGCTATCTGAGCTGAATGGTTTGGTCGTGGAGCTTTCGTCGTCCTTCTGAACGACATCATCAGCACAAACTTAGGGTAGAAGTGAAGTGTTTGAATTTCTCCACATGCGATTCACAGCTTGAACTGATAGATTTATGTCTAACAACATATTTCCAATTCAACAACAAAATCTATGAACAAACAAAAGGGACACCAATGGGATCACCAATATCAGGACTTATCGCAGAAGCAGTAATGCAAAGACTAGAAACCACGGTTCTACCAGTGATCAAACCAAAAATTTGAATTCGTTATGTTGACGACACATTCGTCATTGTCGAAAAGGATGAACTAGAAAACACCTACAGGCAGGTCAACAACGTCTTCAGCAACATCAAGTTCACCATGGAACAAGAGTCGAACAACAAGCTACCATTCTTAGATATATTAATCACCAGAAACAACACAGGAAAACTGGAGACTCAAGTGCACAGGAAGCCGACCCACACCGATCAAATTCTCAACCACAATAGCAACAACCCAAGAACTCACAAAGTCAACTGTGTACAAACTTTGTTCAAGAGGGCGATGACACACTGCAACACAACCACAGCACGAAAAAAGGAAGAAAACCATCCTTCAAAAGAACGGCTATCCAATCAATTTTATCAAAAAATACCAGTCGCATACATCATAAGGAACGAAATCAAGTATAGAAATCAACAAAAGGATCACCCTGCCATACATAAAAGGCATATCGGAAACGACAACGAGGCTGCTGAAAACCTTCGGAATAGATGTTGCCCGCAAACCAATAAAATCCCTCCACTCAATCTTATGCAAATCAAAGGGTGAAATGACAGAAGAAGACAAAACAAACATCATCTACAAAATAAATTGTGCCAACTGCAACAAACACTACATCGGACAAAGCGGGCGTCCCCTTCATCTTCGCTTACATGAACATCAATTAGCAGTCAAACGCCACGACATTTCTTCACTCATATCAATACACGTGGACAACTACGGACATACATCCGACTGGAAAAATGTGGAGATTTTAGACAAAGGCAATTCCAAAAACACCACAGAATTTTTAGAAGCTTGGTACTCAGGTCAATCAGCAATAAACAAGCACATTTAAATCAATCCAATTTATCAACCCATCAAGAAAATTATGCAGAAACATAGGAACAAAAATCAAACCAATAGGAGATACAACTAAAACGAAGAAATAAACAATGACAGATTTAAGGTCAATAGGAGCCATTCAACATCGAGGTGCACAGGACAAGCTGTGAATCGGATGTCGAGAAATTCAAACACTTCACTTCTACCCTAAGTTTGTGCTGATGATGTCGTTCAAAAGGACGATGAAAGCTCCACGACCAAACCATCCAGCTAAGATAACAAACCTACATCAAAATCACCCATCTCAGCTATAAATCTTCTCCACCATCTCAATCCCAGAGTTAATGTTCACTGCGGGACTCGAATATCATAGGGGAGATTCAAGCAACCAATACAAATGGATTGAAACAAATTCATCTTACAGTCATCTCAATTCTAACTGCTTTGTTCTTATTAATTCTAGTTATACTAAAAGCACTATTGGAAACAAAAAACGAAAGTAGAAAATTAAATTAAATCACATAAAATAAATAAATATGTATAACTTACTAGCGATAGAATGAGTTCGACTTGATATATCGGGATTATGATCATCATCTACTGAATCAGCTGAAGTGAGATTATAATTTTCTGGAAAATGTAACATTCCAATATGTGGTCGTAATGTAGTAAATGGATATGGTGCAACTTTAGGTCTAGCTCTTGTTAAACTTCTTAATAATGTAGATTTTCCTGCATTAGGACATCCTACAAAACCTAAATCTGCTAGTTTTGACATTCGTAAAATGAATTCACACGATTGACCTTTACCACCATATTCAGCAACACGTAATGGAGCATTTTTACGACTAGGTAACTTTAATGAATTTGTTGCTAATGTTGCATGTGTCATAAATGTATTGCCTTTACCACCGGCACCACCACGTGCAGCTAGAAATATATCACCATCTGCGTTTAACGTTTTAACTAAGTTAATAGATTGATTATTATTATTATTATTATTATTATTATTATTAGTAGTAGTAGTAGTAGTAGTAGTATCATTTGATGTTTGATTTGGACTTTCAACAGAATTTTTATGAATAGAAAAAATCTGTGTACCTATCGGAACCTGATGAATGAACACAGATAAAAGAAATATTGAAACTATATGAAATAGTTGAAAAAGACAATAAACTTCACGAAATAGTTAGTTATAGTGAAAATTTACCTAGACAGGCAAACTGTTTATCTGTATACTTTTCTAGAGGAGAAAGGTATTGTGGAAAAAGAGGATAGTACAGTTGTTCAGTTTTATACTGAAAGTCCCGGAGTGAATATTAACTCTGGGATGCCGGTACATCCACCTAATGAGTCCTGCTTCAGTTTGGGCACCTGAACAGTATGACAGTCCTCACACAAATCAAATTAGATCCAGGACGCGCGTTTCGTCCTATTTGGGACTCGTCACCTGAATGTACAATTGATAGCATTTAAAATGATGGAATTCATCCTTTTTTTTAAAAAAAATTTCATTAATTTGGCTCATTTATCAGGTGCGGATCCTTGTACTTGGCTTCGAGTGGCACTTTAAGTATAAGGAGTGGTGACGCTCTTTTCTCATTGGCGGGAATCAGCGCGTTCATATAACAACAGGGCACGATACGCACTCACAATATCACAGTTTGTTACACTGTAGTAGGTATAGTGATTTTTGAGCTAGCAGATGATAATCGAACTGTATAAAGGGAGCACATCTGTAAACATCTCAACAAGTTGATATGTGATCACACTATTGTTGCCAATATATTTTGCTAAAATACACATCATATACTCCTAGTAGGCTTTAAATTCTCGTTATACACTACTTGGATTCATTGGAAGGAATAGTTATTTTCACATTAACAGAATGTCATTAAAAAGTGGATTGATACGCTTACATATTTACCTGTAGATATAAATGATCAGCATTTGCTCCATGACAATCATCAATTGAACCATTTACACCATCATTACCTTGTATAATTGTGGGTATATTTGATAAATCAGATACATTTTTATCAGCTAAAAAAAATAATATTCAAATAAGAATCGACTTGTATGAATATGATGGAGATAATTATAAATAATACGAAATCATTTGTCGCAAATAACCTGTACAACTACATATGGTGATTTATTAGATGTTAAACGCGTACATATATAAACACACACACAGAGGTTCACCTCACTATTCATACTAATGAGGAATGGATGATAAACTGGAAAAAAGTCCCACGATCGAATGTTAATTAATTGGACATTGATAATAGTATGTTGCCCCCAAATGCCCTGGTACGGCCGAGAGCCGGGAGAGTCCGCTCTCCCTCTCCAAATGATATCACATAGCCACGCGTATATAGCCTCTGCAAGGAAAGTCCTACTCACTGCCTTCTCATGGCATTACTGTTATTTACGAAATTGAGAGGACAAAAAGCGAATGTATTGAATGATCTGATCATAATAATTCTATGTATAAAATGTGATATTAATCACTTATTAACACCATTACTAACCCTTCGTATTTTATGACACTACTAGCATAAATTGTCATTCAAAACTTCCTCCAACCTGATAGAAGACGATGTAAATTAACCTAAGAAGATTTAAAGGGTGTTGGTTATTTAAGAAAACCTGTTCAAATTGATTATTTCTCTAGTGTTATACAACAGAACATTGATAAAATGCTAGGATAAACACAATTATGTCATATAAATGGGTGAGAAGTATGTGGGTGGAAACTGTAACGAAGCTCATTTTAAGAAAGAAACTACCAAACTCTACATTCAGTATGATGATGCAATCCCGCTTAGTAAAGCCATGCTACTCATATAGCATGAAATGATAAACTCAGGTTATTTTATCTGATGACTTAATACTAATTAGAAGTTATTATTATTATTTAAACACATAAATATTGGTACAAGGAGGCACCAGATATATATGCGCCTCACAAATCTCATTTAATTTGTGTAAGAGCTGTGATACTGCCCAGGTACCCTAACTGAAGCAGGTGATTTTCTTAGGGGACCACACTTCGAGCCTTTGACCTGAAGGTCTAGTCCACAAGGCAGTGGAGCATCGTAAGGAGATGCAGTCCCATGGTAGCCGGTGACCAACAATTGGTTCATACGCCATTTGTTCCCTCAGGATACTGGAGTTCATGTGCACCATTGGCTTGGAATCAGGGTTTTCCAACTCCCTTAGGTGGACTTTCCGTGTCCACAAACTCGGTTAAAGCGCCGGACATTCGCTTTTCATCCTCTCACTTTCGTAAACAACACCCGTGGTGCTAGAAGGCAGTGAGTGGGACTTCTCTGGCAGAGGCTATATACGCGTGGCCATGTGATAGCATTTGGAGAGGGAGAGCGGACTCTCCCCACTCTCGGCCGTATCAGGGCATTTGGGGCTGATAACCTCATTCAATCGATTATGTTTTTACTTAGTCCCCTACATCCAACCCTGGGAGTAACCGAGTAATTATTTTGCCAATATTCGTCTTATCTTCCAACTTCCTAATGATCACATTCCAGTCATAATTTTGAGGTACGTTTATATGCATTGGATGGTCCAACTTTTAATTTGTTAACAGTTTGCCAAATTTATAGATACAGGAGAGTGAATCCCGACGCCTTAATCGATCATTTGCTTTTCTCATCGGTACACTGTCGGTTTGCAAAACTTATTTTCTGTGACAATGCAACACTAGAAAGGAAAAGCAATTGAAGAATATCTGGGACTAAAAAGCTGTCTGTCAGATACACCAAAGTTCAAATTTCCCACACAAACGTCAAGACAACTCTGTTGTACGGTGATAAAACTTGAAGAACTACTGGAAGCATCAACAAAAAAGTACAGGAATTTATAAACAGTTGTTCACGCAAAATACTCCGGATCCATCAGACAGAGATCATCAGCAATAACCTGTTGTGACAGAGAATAAACCAACTTCCAGATAGGGAGAAAATTATGGAAAGACCTAGATGGATAGGATACGCATTGCGAACATCATTAAACCGTATCACAAAACAAGCTCTAAATTGGAATCCTCGAGGCAAAGGGAAAAGAGGCAGACATCAAAAGGAATAAATATTATTTGGTAGCAACTACAAAGAAGAGCCACAACAGAGTTGGTTGGAGAATATTGGTCGGCGCCCTAAGCCCCGAAAAGGGTAACAGACTTATATAAGAAAGGCAATATATTAATTCCTCACCTTTGAAAATTACATGAGCACCATTTCCACCGTCTCCACCACTAGGACCGCTATGTGGATTACAAAAGGTACGTCGGAAGGCAATACATCCATTACCGCCATTGCCTGCTTTCACAACAACTCGTTTACTGCATACAAAAGGTTGGAGCTATAAAGTTTACAGTAGTAAAAATACACTATAAATACAACTTGTCAGTAATGAGCAACCTACAGCCTGGAAAATACGTGCATCGACCTAAGTGTCACGTAACATCATCATCACATGTAGATGAAATTACTGGGATAAATATCAAATTAATAAAAGTAGCGGTGTTAGTGAGAAATTCACATAATAAAAAGTATGAAATAATTCTAAAAATCGAGGTTTTGGAAATAAAATTGAATGTATTTGCGTAATCAACATCATTTCTGAGCCATATCACTCGTCTCCAACGGTTAAGCATGATAATACCACTGACCACAAACAGGCAATCTGTAGCTACCAGCATAACTAAAATTATTGAGATGAAATGGTATAGATCCTGATAGCCGCCATATACGGGCGCAACTCCCATCTGGGCACCCCACTTAAACCTCTACCCTTTCAGGTTTCCATGCAAGCTTTGTGGGATCTTTTAAGTAAGGGATGTAAGGTAAACGATAAGCACCATATTAAATATTTTCTGAAGTTGCTAAAGATGTTAATCATCATTTCCATGACAACTAGACGTTTTGTGGCATGAACGCCTAACATCAAATTTAGTTCAATTTAGTGTCATGTTAAATGAAGCCAACTCCAATTAGGATAATATTTTTAAAATGAAAAATCTGTCAACTATGTCAGAATTCAGACAAGTACTCTGCATAGACCAGTAATCATGTATGCATCTAAAACTGATTAGAATATTATCTATTTAAGTCAAAGGTTTTTTGGGAGGGCAATGATGTTAAGAAGGGAATCGGTGATGACTGTGGTGACAATTAGTGCAAGCTTATACTAAATTTTGATTTGCGTAAAGCTGTGGAAAATGGTCCTAATTATTCACCATGCAATCAGTGAGTCCCGATTGTATGCCTAAAGAGATTTCCTTTTTATCTAAACATACTACATGTTTATCCGAAAATCTCTAACTAGAACCAAAACGCACATTCATTCCAAATTCGAAAACACCTATTAACGTTACATGTTCGTAAAATGAAATTTCAAGTCAGATGCATTCATAAAATCCTAATTCGATGGTGTCAAGTATTACTTTCTAGGTAAATTATAACCGTAAGCGTAGGCTAACAGTAAATTTTTCAAAGCTGCAAGACATTATGATCATTTAATTTTTTTGCACATGCATTTCCTAAAGTTTCCCGTAATTTTTGTTACTCAAATTACATTGAGTTTCAAGTGGGTTTTTGAGACAGTGTTTGCCAAACTGACTTCAGTGACAATCTCAAGAGAATCCTAATTATTTAGACACCATAATGATAGACGATTGGCCGATTTGGATGAATCATTTACTACTCGTGTGGTAAAACTAAAATTTATTCTGACCAGTTAATTCTGAATGCCACCGTTGAAAACAATTGGAAATAAACAAACAAGTTTCGCTACTTCCGGTTTGTCACAATGTTATCAAATTCATAAAAACTGGAAGGCAGATAACTTGTCTCAATCAGGTTACGGTAAGTTTCAAAGCAATGATGGAGTAGCTAGAAATCAGTTTAACTGCTTATCGATTTCCCAGCTTTACGTGTTGAAGTTATTTGTTAGTCGATGTTTTTCGTTAATCCCATAAACCGCTTGAGTTTTCAAATCTAAAGGTCAAAAACTTTCAGTTGCTGCTGATTAGAACCAAAATGTCACATACACATTGATCATAATTTACATGGTGCCTATGAGAACATTACGTACTTCTAACCCCAGTAATTTTAAACCTTTTTTGGGTGTGGAACCACAGAAAGCAAGCTTGTGAGTATAGGGGAGGAAATTCTCATTAGTAAACCAACGTATCAAATGTTATTGTATGTGAAGGAAAAACAGGAACGCTTTTTACCGTAAAATCGTTTGTAATGGCGCAAGTGATCCCATTATTCGTCTTCCTCCAAATACCGAGTTTTTGAATCATTCACAACCTTTTTTGTGTTTACTTAATTAATTTATATTCTGTTGAATCGTATTTTCGATGCTTAGTCTTTTCAGTCACCAACTATACCGTTACTACACCTACTATTATGAGATTTGACCTGACAATTCCATCCCTTTGTGAAAATAGGGTATGACAAGTTGTACCGAATTACACATGAACCAGCTTCTATATCGTAACTGATTGACTGACTGTAAAACATGCTCTCAAACGCTTGGAGCTGTGAAGCTCATTGTCGATCGCGTTCAAAAAGTCTGAACTTGGTCAAAAATTTCAAAAAACCTATATTAGTCCACTAATGTTGAAAATTTCTGAAAAAATTTATGCCAACTGATCTTACTCCCGTAGATGAAAATATAAAATTGAAAATTACAGGACCACAATTCATATTTATGAATTATCTTCATAGTAAAAAGAGGGGGAACCATCCTTGTAACAGGGATCACGGGCTAAGGAATATCTTACTTCAAGCAAAAAATAACTTTGTTTCCTGAAGCTAACCCGGTTTTCAAACGTTTGCGCATAAATAGATTGAAAATCTGTTTTAATATCAGCATGTTTCAAAAATAGAAATTTACAAATTAAAAAATCTTCAAAGCCTAAGTAAAAAACTCTCTAGATCTTACAAGTTGAGAAGCGTAGTTACTCTACTGAATATGACTATCTGATAACTTTTGTCAGTGATTTGTCTAATAAGAGAAAACTTCTTACCGTATGTCCAAGAGCTCTTTTCTTCGGATTTGTAGAGCCGAATGAAATACTATGATTGAACCGAGTGAAAATCTGTGAAACTAATTGACGGCGACGAAACAATAATCCTGTGGTCATGGTTGTACACAGTTCCATTAGAACAAATAGTCAAACATGGGCGCTAAGAGAAAATAGAAGTTTAGCAACTTCAAAAAGACATATTCGGTTAACATGGTAACAAATATGTGATCCTTTGATATATATATATATATATATATATATATATACTTTATACAAAAATATATCCCCGATACTAACACATGTACATGAAATGAAAACCATTTGAGCTAAATATCTGAGTTATGTATAAATGCAGAATAGAAAAAAGCAGGTAGAAAGTTATCCTTGAAGCCTATATGCAGTGATAATGCAACCTATAAATCGTCTGAAGACTGAATACTCATGTTATGAAAAATGCTGGAAACCTGTCAGTCCCCAAATGCCCTGGTACGGCCGAGAGTGGGGAGAGCCCGCTCTTTTCCAAATGCTCTCACATGGCCACGCGTATAAAGCCTCTGACAGAGAAGTCCTGCTCATTGCCTTCTGGCACCACGGGTGTTGTTTACGAAAGTGAGAGGACAAAAAGCGAATGTCCGGCACTTTAACCGGGTTGGTGTACACGGAAAGTTTACCTAGGGGAGTTGGAAAACCCTGATTCAAAACTAATGGTGCACATGGGCTGGCTTCAGTATCCTGAGGGAACAAATGGCGTATGAATCAATCGTTGGTCACTGGCTACCATGGGACTGTATCTTCTCATGATGCCCCACTCCTTGTGGGTCAGACCTTTAAGTCAAAGGCTTCGGGTGTGGCTCCCTAAGAAAACCACCTGCTTCAGTTTGGGCACCCGGGCAGTATCATAGCCCTCACAAAAATCAAATGAGATTTGTATGGCGCATATATATCTGGTGCCTCCTTGTGCCATTATTTATGTGTTTAAATAAATAAATAAAATAAGGACACAATGTGGTAGTCGAGCTAGAAACGCAAAAATAGATTAGCAACAATACATCCAGGACCAATGGTGAAACTGATTGGAAGACCTAGATGAACTAATCTAAGGGTTACAAAATTATTTGCGACAGTTTCTATACAGGAAGTACCTATGTTTAATCCTTTAGGAAATGCTTTTTATTTGGTTTACTTCCCTGGTGAATGATACATCAGGATAGACACCGAAGGTTATTTTGCAGAAACTGGGTATTCTTGTGTCTTTATATTCTGAACATCCCTTAACCCACAAGGCATCTGAAAACGATTGATTACAGGAGGCCTAATAAATGACAATGTTAATTTCATATGGTAAATAATAAATCTAATAAAAGACCAAAAGGTGAATTACTGATGCCAAATATTTATTCAGAATTTCTTTACATCCAATGGTTCATTAAACCGCACTAATTGTTTATACACTTCAATATCTTTGAAGTGATCTTCTGAAACATATAACGGTACACCTTTGGCCATAATGCTTGCCATTGTAATAGTCGGTTGGATGTATTTGACATCTTCAGCAGTGAACTCCAATTTCTTGGTATTCAGAAGTATTCCTTTTAGACAAGCAGTGAACTTTTTGTTCTCCTTGTCATAATATAATTCAGTAACATGACTGGAAGTCAGAAGATGCAGCAAGAGCGGAGTAGAAAGGGAGAACAACAGGGCAACAAAGAGAGAGAAACAAAACACCTTCGGGTCATGGATTTTAGAAAACAGAAAAGGTTGTAAAGAGAGAATCACAGAACTGGAAAGCACTGAAAATGTCTTAGCGCCTAAGACAAGTCTACGATGTGGGCTTTCGTAAACTAAATATTGGTTGTTGGTTTCCACTATGGGATGACCGCTTTTGGAATTTACTTTTCTCCATGTCACAAGTAAATGAGGCTTTCCAGCGAAGTTAACGCCACTGAAAATACATCTACTGGGATTGAAGAACTTGACAAAACAGAAGCGCATCCTTCAAAAACTCGCCGTTGTAGGTTCTATTTCTGGTACCGAACATCTGTAAGGGAGGATAATATAAATTAATCAATCAATTTTCGTTGCTATCGTGATGTTAAGGGATGATTAATGATCTACGGAAGCGTTATTTGTTATTCATTTGAGATCATGTAGGAACGACATATTCTGGCGAAATAGATCATTGTACTTTCATTGGGTTCTAGCCAAACCATACAGCAGATAGATTCAAATGGTTCAAATGGTTGAGGACGGAATAGAGGAAGCTTTCGCTTGATTGGCTTCCGTGTCTAGTAGCAGTGGATCACCAATACCTCCAGGCAAGAACCTAGGCATATTAACGATAATAGAGGAAAAAAAGAATTTGGTAAATCAAAATAGTATGTTATTCTTAGTCTTTAAGAATAAGTCAAGTTTCCTCTTTAAGGACTCCTGGGAAGTCGCTTGGACTAGCTCAGTCGGCAGCGAATTCCAGCACTTGACAACTCTAACGGAGTAGAAGTTGTGTCCGCAGTCTGTTCTGCTATGTAGGGTCTCCAATTTCTGGGTGTTACCTCTGAGGTTACTGTTATGACTAAGCTTAAGAAGTTGTTTAAGGGGATGACCAGAATTATTAAGGATGCTATAAGTCATAAGAAGATCACCTCTAAGACGCCTATACTCTAACGGGTAAAGGTTAAGTGATTGGAGGCGCTCTTCGTAAGGTTTAAATTTGAGTCCCCGAACTGATTTCGTGGCTCGACGTTGGATGCGTTCCAAAGTGTCCTTATCCTTTTGGAGAGAGGGATGAAATACTATGTTTCCATGCTCTAAATGGGGACGAATAAAACTGTTGAAGATTATGTGGAAGGTTCTATTGTCAAACTGACCAAGAATGCGCTTCAATGTTACCAGTGCAAGGTTTGCTTGAAAGGCGTTTTTGTCACAGTTCACATACGACTTCAGGTCGTAGGGTACCAACACTCCTAAATATTTTTCGACTTGAGAAACTTCTAGAGAGGGGTTACCTAAGTTGTAACTATAGTCTGCAACATGTTGCAGATGGACTACTTTGCACTTTGAAGTGTTGAAGGTAAGTCGTCTGCCCAACTTTGAATTCGAGTCAGATCCTCCTGAAGTACTAATATATCCTTATGGTTACGTGTCTCTCTCCAAAGTTTCACATCATCAACAAAAAGCAATAAGTCAGATGAAACTTGTTGAGGAAGATCGTTAATGAGAATCAAGAAGAGAAGAGGTCCTAGTATTGAGCCCTAGGGGACCCCACTAGGACATCCCATAGCCTGAGAGAGAGTGGAGTTAACCCTGACCTTAAAATGTCAGTTTTCTAGATATGAATTGAGCCAGTCAATCAAAAGGGGTTTGATACCCGATCGTCTAAGCTTATTGATAAGACATACATGGTTGACCCTATCAAAAGCTTTTGAGAAGTCCAGGTAGATGACGTCAACCTTTCCCTTGCGATCAAGGGTGGTTGTCCATCTATCCACAGCAGTCAGCAGGTTGGTCATACAAGAATGACCTTTTCTGAAACCATGCTGTTGAGGTGAGAACTTTAAGGATGATAAGTATTCTTGTATACCGTCGTATGTTAGATTCCATAATTTTAGAAGGTAAGGAGAGAAGGGCCAACGGTCGGTAGCTTGGGGGTTCACTGCGTCGACCTCCTTTGAAAATTGGTGTGATGTGAACCAGCTTCCAAATTTCCGGTAGTTTGCCTCGGCTTAGAGAGTGTGAAAACATCACGCTAAGTGGTGTCGCCAGGATTGAGGCTGCTTCCCTCAATATAGCAGAATGAACCATATCCGGACCGGGAGAAGTGTCTTTTCTTGGGTGTTGCAGTTTACGAAGCACCAGGTTAGCACTCAGGTCCACTTCGGAAAGTCCTGTACAGGTGCAGGTGAAGCTTTCGTCAGTACAGTTGATGTGGGTCGGCTGAAATGTCCGAGAGTATTGTTCAGCCAAAAAGTTAGTGGCATTACCGTAGTTATTGGTCGGACCATTAGGACCTAGCAATTGGAAAACTCCAGTTTTGCCTTGTCGAAGATAAGCTGCGTAACGGAATAAGCTTTTCGGATTGGAGACAGATTTATCGATAAACTTGTTCTGGTACTGAAGCCTTTCTTCTCTTATTGCCTTTGAACATATGTTCCTTATATGTTTGTATTGCCTGTATGCGTCGTTATTGTCAGTTCGTTTATATTCGGCCCAACAGTGCCTTTTGCGGCTTAGCAAACGACAAGTGCGGTTCTTGATGATTGGAGGTTGTTTGTAGCTTTTTGGGACCATTTTGGGAACTGAATGCTCAGTAGCACATAAGATCATGTGCAGTAAGAAATAACAATGAGCATCCACTTCAAGTTGAGGGTGAACATCCCAATCCACCTGTTGTAGATAGTCGTGTAAAGCTAACACATTCAACCGTTTGAAATTCCAGCGCCTGTTGTCAGTGGGATATCTTAGCTCCGTTTTGCTGACAAAGCTGAATGATAGTACGGCGTGATCGCTTTTCCCCAGGGGAGCCAGGATTGAGGGGTCGTCGACTAGGAATTCTTCATTTGTGAATACTCGGTCTAAGCGTGACGGCATCTGACTGTTTCTCCAACGAGTTGCCAAATTCACATTTTCGAATAATCTCAGGTCACCGATGAGGTTGAAGAACAGAGCTTCCGTAGAATTGTCACCTCCAATGTAGGTATGTTCCGCGAAGTTGATTCTAGGGAGATTGAAATCCCCTAGAATCAGGATATGACAGAATCCGAGACGCGTAGAGCGGGTTAATTCTTCCAGCAAACGATTGTTATACTCGATGTCGGCAGTGAGCTTCCTGTAGATGACCCCAACAAGACACCTCGAGGTGGTAGACAATCTTATTGTGCACCATACTGACTCATCAAGATTGAGAAACTCTTGGTTGTGAAGTTGGTGCGCCTCCAGGCATGACCGTATGTATAAGGCTACCCCGCCCCCCATTCCAATTTTCTTGTTGTTGCGAAATAAAGACATTCCAGGTATTGCTATCTCCTGGTCCGTAAACTGAGACGTTATCCAAGTTTCGGATATTCCTATCAGATGAGCATCATTAGCGTTGCAAAGTTCATGTACCTCATCCATTTTCTTTGGCGAACTCGCGGCATTCGTGTATAAGTAGTTTATGCTTTCAATT